GGGGGGGGGGGTAACTTTCACCCCCTGGTAACGAGGGTGGTGAACACCGCACTTCCCTCTCCCCTTTCCAGCCCAACACAGGGTGCTGCCCTGAGGGAAAAGCTCTGTCTGAGATGCTGGGACGCTGAGAATCCTTCCCAGTCAGCTCACTGCCACCTCCTAACCACCACCCACTAAGCCTCAAGCAAAGACCAAAGCCTCAGACTTCCCCGGACACGACTTCCCTTCCCCTTCACAGCTGTTGCTTCTGTTGGTGTTTATTGTAACTGCTCCTGTCCCATCCCCCAGCCCCTCTCCCCCGCAATGTGCACAGTTTAGGGGAGAGGGGAGAGTGATCTGGGAATGGGGCGGGCCCACCTCTTAGGAATCCCTGCTTTTTACACGGCTGTATAAGTTCCCCTGAGCTCTTCTCATGCCTTAACTTGAAAGAAAGGATTTTTTAAATGGTGCCATTTTAAATTAAGATCACAGGAAAGTAGCAGGGTTTTTTCCTTTTCCATAAACTATAAATAACACTAGACACAGGTGCGTGAATCCAGCCCCCAACCTGAAGAGTAGGAGCGTAAAAGCAGCTCCAAGAGTAAAGATCCGCAGTGACTTCCTCATCTAAAGGCAACGCAGAGAGCAGCTGGAGGTGTCAGCGGATGATTAAAGCCCCAGAAGTGCCCAATTAACTCCGAAGAGTGTATCGAACTATTAATAGACAATGTATTTTAAATTACGATGGGAAAAAGGAAATCAATGCAGGTGAGATGGTAAAGGTGCATCAGTGGAAGATGAATTGGGGAAGTGGAGATGAACTTGAGTGCCAGGCGGACAATGAAGGCTTCACCGCCAGGTCCTGGCAGCGCTCAGATCGTCACCCACCTCGGCCACACGGATGGTCCTGAAAGGCCCTCGCGAGAAGGGCGTCTGGGTGTCGGAGCCCGAGGCGCAGAGGAACGCCAGCCCCCCAGGCAGCTGCCTGAGTCCCTTCCCTGCTCTCAGGGATCGTCCACAGGCCAAGCACAGAATCTTTTTTTTCTTTCCAGCAGGTGAGAGATAATAGTATCCCTAAAAAGAGGAACAAAGAATGCTTTTACGTAGGTACATCTAAATTATAATAGCATTTTTGTAGAACACTTTACAATACAAATAAGGCATTTTTATAATCCACCTATGCTAAATTTGAACTTCTTCAGGAATGCATTATTTTGCTCACTAATAATTATATTTTAAAAATATTTCCAAACTCTGTTGACTAAAAAAGCTTAGAGACAATGATAATTCAACATCATGCATATAACTTTTGCCCAGAATCAGGGTTTCTTGGAGGAATGGCTACTTCTATATTTGGGGCAACAGATACACAAGATACTTAAGGGGTGTCATGTGGTGCTCAGAAAGAGAAGTAGCCATCTGAGAGTATAGGAATTACGTCAAAAAGACACAGGAGCCAACATGAGGGGCCTCCACTGGCCCAAAGTGGTACAATTTGGAAACAAAAAGAAGAATGGTAACCAAAACACTTTGTTTGCATGTGAAATGTGACTTTGCTGCTTCTTCAATCAAGAAACAGGGTTTCTTTCTCCTTTCCCTGAATCTGGGCAAGGCCATGTGACTTGCTTGGGCTACTGTAGCATTAGCACATGTGATGTAAGCAGACGCCTGGGAAGTACTTGTCCTTCGAAGCTTGCTATCTTTTGGCTGCAACTGGAACCCTGAGGCCACAATGTGAACCCACTTGAGCCAGCCCGCCCGAGAAGCCTCGGGGAGAACCAGGGCCCCCAGCTAATAGCCTGCCAAGCACCGGGCATGGGAGGGGGGACATCTTTGACCATCCAGTCCCTATAGAACCACCAAACTATTCAGGTACCACCAGGTGACCGCCACATTAATGACCAAACTGCTCATTTGAGTCCCACCCCAAGTTGCTGACTCGCAGAGCAAAAAAATGGTTGTTTGTTTAAATCACTAAGGTTTAGGTGATTTGTTATGCCACACAGATAAGTGAGATAGAAAAAATAAGCATTTATCCTACCATCCCTTATAAACCACATTTTTGGGTACTCAAATACCTAATTGAAGAGGTGAAGTTCCTCACATTAAAAGTTCAGCTAATAAATGTGGGGGGAAACTGTAGAATTAAACAAAATTGACCCCTTTGAAACTCCTAATGAAATTATTCATTTAGGCAAAGATCACCAAAGGGTGAGAGAAGTCACTGGGAAATTTTTTAAATGTAGAATTAGGTTATAATCATGTGAATACACTGATAACTGGTATCACTAAAAATGAAAAATCCAGATATTGTATGTCCACATAAGTGACAAATGTGAAAAATGCAGTGAGGCTTATAAACATTCTTGTAAAAAAAAAAAAAAAAAAAAGCCTAACCTAAATGTAATTACCGGTCTAGTGCTAAATTTCTGCTATAGGAATTACAGAGGCTAGAGAAACAAGTTAAAGGATGCCACAAGAAGAAAACAGGTAAATCCAAATAGAGGCATTCTAGAGGGCAAAGGACCCAGATTCTGCATCTAAATGCCACATAGGGACCTTGTTTGAATCCAGGCTCAGACCAGCCAACCACAGGAAGAATTTGTTAGGGTAACTGGGAAATGTAATTAAGAACAGGTATTTAAAGAATTACTGTTAATTTTATTAGATGTTATAATGGTGTAATGATTATGTAAGAAAATGGTCCAAGTTTTCAGGGGCACGCGCTTCAGTTGGAGGTAAAATGATATCGTGTGGAGTTCTGTCAATGTTTTCAAGCCTTGATAATAGTTGAATTTTGATGAGATATGTATGAGAGTTCATTGTACTAGCCTCTCTACTTTTGAATATGTGTGAAAATTTCCATAATAAAATTTTAAAGTACTTTCCCATAGACTCTCTAATTGGCTTTGTTCCTCACAAGGCTAAAAGTTAAGTACAGTCAGAGTTAATATCACCATTCTCAAGTTACATAAGAGAAAACAACAGCTCAGAGAGGAAAGTTTTTATCCAAGGAGTACATGGCAGAGCTGAGATACAAAACTGTGGGTTCTGATTCCAAGATCTTGGCTGTTCTGCCTTTTCCATTCGGTTCAACTACTCCCTTTAAGTAATAGAGCTACCTCAATTCAAAGCCAACATTTAGATGATACTTTCGAAGATTTAATTCTCAAATTTCACTATGGATTTCTCTATACGCACATCTGATTTCCATTTTTCTACAAGTTACTGGAAGGCAGAAAATTAAATATCCCCTCTCGGATGGAAGTGAATGAATATTACATGCAGAGTCATTTAGATGGAAAACCATGGGGTTCATGATGAACTGTGTGCCAATTCCTGTATTAGCTGGGGTATTTCTATAAAGTGAAACTCCTCCTCACCCAATGTTTTGTTATCCTTAGGTACAGTTCATAAAGGGGGGAAAAATGCTTGACTATTTCCCAATTTTCTCTTCTTTTTTTTCTTTTTTTAATATATCTTTATTGACTTCAGAGAGAGGAAAGGAGAGGGAGAGAGACAGAAACATCCATGATGAGAGAGTCATTGATCGAGCCCGCAACTGGGCATGTGCCCTGACCAGGAATCGAACCCCGATCGCCTCGATCCTAGGTCGATGCTCAACCGCTGAGCCACGCCCGGCCAGGCACTATTTCCCAATTTTCAAAGTAATGAATTGGTTTCATAGCATCATTTAATTGTGACCAATGAGTTGTTGCTGTTGTTTAATATCAGTAAGAACATATGGCTTTAAACACATCTGATGTATGACAATCCTCTGCACTCATTAGCCGCGCCGATGCTTAAATCGGTTCATCTTTGGATAGTGGGAGCCTTTCCAAGTTGACTTGATCCATTTTAAGATAACATTACTAGCCTGACAGCATCTGCTAAGAGGTACGAGTTCACAGATAAAGTAGAAGGGGTGCAGGGGAGAGCGCAGTGAAAACCGGAGAGATGCCAAGTGGCATGGGACATCGGGACGCCCCTCAGCAGAGCTGGGAATGGTGAGTGAAGCGGCGGCGGCTCAGAGACGTCTAAAGGGAAAAGCGGGCCTCAGAGTGTCCCATAGGTGCTCCACGAGATTCACGTGAGCCAGTGGTCAGCGACAACAGCCCGGTGGCTTGGCCACAATATCTCAGTTATTCGTAAAGTATGGTGCAAGTAATTCCTTACTAATAAAAATTAAAGGGCCAAATTTGAGAAATTATTTTCTTTACAGATTAGAATATATTTAATGCTTAGGCCTATGATCAGTAGAATGTAACAGAGCGAAAGTCATTTACACTCAGTTGCATGCTAGGCTTTCCGGAGTGGAAGTGGAGTGACACCGGCGAGGCAGGGACACCTGCGGGAGGGCGGTGTGCGTGGGTGTCATCCCTCAGGTGTGTTCCGGAGAACTGATGATGGACCAAAGGTGGTGCTGGTGACAGGGAACCATTGAAACAATGTAAGTAGAGAGTAATATCAATATCCCCTCATTCCTTCCCAGCCAGAATCCCAGAGTCCATGCGATTTCATTCACGAATCAGTGCTCAATTTGTGTGAACGTAGGTTTTCTAGAAAAATAATTCCTTGCTTTATTAAATCACCCATTTCCCCTTGTTTTTCTTTTATCCCCAGTAGGAAAGAGCCACTTACTGGTTGATCAATGTTTTCATTTTTAACCACAGAGGACGTACAAATCCCAGCATAATTTGCTGCCGTGACTTCTTTATCCAGTGCCGTGCTATGAAAGGCCATGAAAGCTTTCATATTTTCAATGTAATTCCACTTTTGATTGGAAGTCCCATTGTTATAGGGCTTATATTTCTTAAAAAAACACACAAAAATCAAGAGACAAAATCTGGAGTCAAATGGGAGAGTTTACAATTTGGTTACAGCAGCCATAGTTCCCATTGCATAAGTTCAGAAAGTACAGATAATTATTCATTCTGCCATGTAGTTTTAACCACATATTTGGTGGTTAAAAAACTTCATACCTGATATTTGGTTTTATATACATAATATTTTTTATATTTATAAATATGTATTCTTTACAAAGATAGGATCGCAAAATATATACATTTGGTAACTGCATTAGGTTTGGGTTTTTGTTTTGTTTTTCCTTAACAATATTCCATGAATGTTTTTTGAACATTTTTAAGGATATATACTATATGATCTTAGGGATATTTTATTTTACCATTCTCTAAAAATTAAACATGCAGATTCTCAAATTTTCCTTACTATAAGCAAAAGAGTAATGAAGAATTATACAGATCAATCTTGGTGTAGATCTATAACTTCTTTAGAACAAACTCCTCAAGTAGAATTGTGGGTAAAAGAACACAATCATTTTAAATATTGTGATATATCATATAAAGCTTTATCGCAGACAGATACTTTCCAGATAGGTTATTGTAAATTACACTTCCACCAATAGTATATTTTCCTAACACTCTTGCCAAAACATCATCAATTTATTAACTGAAAAGTAATACCTTGTTGATATTTTAACTTACATTTCACTGGTTATCAAGGATTTTTTAAAATGTGAATTTAAAAAAATTTTATATGTAATGGAAACAGCATATTTATTCAAATTATAAAACTTGGCTCTAGCAGAAGTAAAGAAAAAAGTAGTTTCAATTTAAGAGAATTTAAACCAGCAGATTAGTTCCAACTAAACATATCATGACACCTGAGGGAACTTTATAATGAATAACACTTACTTCACCAAGGAGAGATTGATAGTAAGGAGGAAAATAAATGAGCCTTAAGAATTGATTTAATAGGTCAAACAATAGAGCATCCCTCAGAGGTATGAAAACAAAGACTATATTTCAAGGAACAGGGAGGGAGCCTAGTAACATTAACCTAGCATGCCTCATTTTTATTAATTTACATGAACTTTAATATTTTCTCACAAACTGATTGCTTTAAGAAATAAAAATGAAACAGCAACAACAAAAAAAAACATCTTGAAAGGTAATACAAATTATCTTGGGATCAAACTCATTTCTTATAAAATGGGAACCTTAAGGGAAACATCCATATCTATAATTTTATGAACCTGATTAAGGTACTAAATTTGCATCTGCATGAGGTTTTTATCTCGCTGCCAAAGAGGCACCTGACAGGGAAGAATGTGATGCTATATATACTGTGACTCCTGGAACAAATTTTAAGCCCATATTTGTCATCCGGATAGAAGACTTAATTAAGCTGTGATATTTGTCCAGATTGCTATGTCCCAATTTTGGATTCATTGCTATTAAAAACATGGAATAAAAGTAATGTTACTTGGAGACAATAGATTCTGTTCAAAAAAAAGATGGTAAATAGTGTGAAGGATACAGAAAGTAAATGCAGAGCAGGGGTGCTCCTAAACTTTCTCTCCTCCTAACAAGAAAAAACACATAAACACATATTCATTTAGGAGTGTCGTTGGTTATAAGTAAGCGAGGACCACAGACAAACATGAAAAAAGATCTCCCCGGGTGTTTGCCTAAAACTCAAATGAAGCCAGACTTCTTTGGAGTCTCCAAAAATCGTTTGGCTGCTGTAAGTATTTGCAAAAGTATGCTAAAAGTGTATTTCAAAGGAGTGTCTTAGAATTAACACTATTGAGCTCACGTCCTTCAGGCAGACCCCTCTGACCATGTTCTTTCCTTCCAGATGCCAGGCAGGAGGGGACTTGAGCACGTCCTGGTCACTGAACTTAAAACACCTGGTGCATGTAACGGCCCTTCCACCGACTGCACCCACCACTGACACTGCGAGCTACGCGAAGGCCACGGAAACCATTGCTCCTGCTCGACATGGGAACCGAGTTCAGGAACACGCGTGGCTCCTGCCGTGCAGCAAGCCCACCATCACCATCTGTTAGATTAAACTAAATTAGGAGCTACATGAACATGTTCCATTTGAAATCTAAGCAGAATGCTGTAAATATTTTAGCAATAGCTCTCAAGATAGAATCCTATGACATCCAATTTCTTTCTCCACAACAAGGAGGCCTGGAGCTTTCCTTGCATTTGGCTAAATAAAGGACAATGGTTCCTCCTGGGCCCGGGCACCTCTTACCTGAACGATCACCGGATAGCCACAGGCTGCATTGCCCGCCTTGGTCATAGACGCGGCCAGCACGAGCTCTGGGTTCCCCGCCAGGTGGAAGGTCCTTGGGAAACAGGGTCAGGCACGTTACAAACAGCAGGCCCATGCAGAGCTCCCCCGGGCCACGTCCCAGTGTGTCACCGCCTGTCTGCGTTCGTGCTCTGGGATAACGGATGGGCATCCCTGAAGCATCGCTCCCATTCCTACAGCAAGCACGACGCTGTGCTTTCCCATGGGGAGCGCTGGGAGGGCGCTGCAGGAGGAAGGGGCTCTCCTGCTCCTTCTGGCTGCCGTAGGGCGTCCGTGCCTGGGAGTGGGGTACCCAGTGATGCTCTTCCCTGACCAAGGTGCCCAGAACGCCTGGTCCCTCGGCACCTTCACAGCCCCAGCCTGGCCTCCTGATCACCTGCGTGTGGCTCTCCCGACACAGGTCCTGCATGTCCCAGGCTTTCTGCCACAACAGCACCCTGCTCCCTTTACATGCCCTTGTGTCCAGCACAGAGGGATGCCTCCTGCTTGCCCAGCAACCAAACGCCAGGCCTGGCCAGGCAAACCAGCACATTTCTCTGCCACCCAGCGGGCTGCAGCTATACCTTTGCCAGTGGGTTTTGAACTCCAGCCCTGGGGAGGGGCGCAAGTCCAAGTCTGTCCTTTCTTGCATACTCCCCCTCAGCCTTAGGGTATCATATAGAATTTACATATTTTAAAAATATCCAACAATTACTCTTTTATCATTGTTTAATAATTCTTTATGTTAAACTTCCTCTGTTCAAGTCACTGTATGGCTTCTGTCTCCAGACTGTACCCAGACTGATATACTCTCCTCCCCCATTTAATTTCTATGGGGAACAGCGTGTCAGAGTCATTAAGAGCATGGATTCTGGAGTCACAGTGCCTAAGTTTGAGTCCTGGGTCCACCTGTGGGTAGCTCTATGGCTCTGCTTAACAACTCTGAGCCTCAGTGTCCTCATCAGTAAAATGGGGTAATGGAGCATGCCTCATCGGATTATTGTGACAATTAATGAGTTAATACACATAAAATTTATAGAATATTGTCTGTTGCATAGTACTTAGTATTAGCTACTATTACTGATGGGTGTGATTTTTTATAGATTTCCGTCAATTTTTTTTCTAGAGGAGCATTCCTTAAAAGTCCAAGATTTATGGTGAATATTTTCACATGATCTTATATTGAGGCTAACAAAAGGCCCCCTTGACTGAAAAACAAAATGAAAATTATTGAGCTTAAAACTCTCAAATTCTTTTCCTCGCATCACTTAAAAGCAAAAATAAACCAAACATTCAAAGCTCCCCTCTGTAGAGAAAGAGCCAACTCTTTACATCTGTCAGCCTAGTTACATTACAGACCAGCAGTGGTATTTCTGCTGTGGAAAATATGACTCCTCCTGAATGTAAAATTTAATGATGTGGGAGTCGAGGGAAGGGGAGAAGGTGGGAGAGATCTATTATAAAAGTAATAGTGTTTTCCTTTCAAGATTGAAAAAATTACAGATATCTAATTTAAATCTCCGAAATAAAGCAATATAAAATTTACAAAGTTTTGAGGAATACAGTAATATTATAACCAAATTTAAACATTACTCTTCTACAAGATAACCACTATTAATCTCACAATGTATTTCCTCATCCTAGTTAGCTAATGAAGTATCATTTTAAGTCCAAAGCGGGTATTCAACTTTACCAAATACCATCTTAGCATTTATGAAGACTGTGCCCACGGCCAGAGAGCTGGTGCCCTGTACCACCCCCCGCAGCCTCGGCACGCTGCAGGCCTCGCACCCTGCGTCCTTGCTGGCACTCGGTACCATCCAGATGAATGAGTGAGCATATATTTCTGCGGTGACCTACTGAGATGCCAATATTAGTCACCTAGCTACCTCTATGTTTTGCTGACTACAATGACGAGAGTAGACATGGCCACTTCCCCGGGCTTCAGTGCCATGCTCAGCCATCGCCCACAGCAGGATGCTTACATTCTGCAGGAAGCCCGAGCTTGTAGACGTCTATACAAACCCCCTGGGTGCCAAACAGCAAAGTGAGAAATTGCTCTGTGTCCCAGCAATATCCGCGTGATACCACTGCCTCCTCCATTAGCCCGCGCTATGAGCGAATACAAGCCCCTTAATCTCCGTGAGCCTCAGTTTACCTAGCTTTGGAATCGAGTGACTAAGACGAGAAGGTGGTTAAGATCGCTTTCAGCTTCAAGTTCCACGTTGCTGTATTTCCCCCTGTATAACTTCGAGTCCTGTTGAGGGGATTTTCATCCCTGAGGTTTTCTTCATATTTTTTTCATATTTCCCTTTAGAGACCAAATGATTAACTCAGATTGTGCCAGAGTTGAAAATGGGAGGAAGATGCCAGATTATCTCAGAAGTTGATCTGGACCTTCTTCTGTGGGGCTGGAAACCAAGTGAGTGTCTCTGGCAATCTCCAACCACCTTGCAGGGCCCTCTTGCCCATTTCTTATCCTTCCAGCCCAGACGAGGTATTATCCCAGCAAGGCCTCAATGAAAGGACTAAAGGTAGACAATTCTTGGCACAGTGATGCCACTTAGTACCTCCCGCGATGCTGGCAGTGAGCTCCTCTGCCTACACTCTATTAATACAGATTCTGAATGGGCAGTTGCCTCCCGAATTGTAAACTTACTGCCTGGACGAAATAAAGAGGGTGAAAAGACTAGGGTTCACATACATTTTCTACAGGCTCTGCTACATCCTGCAGTCCAAGGTTCTCCAGGCCTCAGCGGTCAACCAGAGCAAATAAATGGGTTTCAATACCCAATTATGTGAAAGAAACCAAAGCAAAATGCCAAGGGAAACTGTGAAAGAAAGAACTACTGTCCCTATGCAGACACACTTCTGCAGTAGGACATATATTCCTCTGCGTGGTGCCCACAACCAGTCATGCAGGCGTTTGCGGGAGTCTCCAGGTGGTGCTCGTGAGCAGGCCCTGTCCCACTGCCCCTCCCCCCGCCCACTGCTCCACCTCTTCTCTCCAGGCTCCGGAGTTTCCGCCCAGGGATCAATTCATACCACCATGTCCCACCAACTGTCCCTCCCTTCTATGGCTTGACATGAGGAGGCCTGAAGGTGGCCAAGCTGCGGAGTGTTTTGGAAAGTGGTGGGAGATTGGAAGAGACCATTCTTGTCTTTTATGTTACACGTGGTTTGACGTTCCAAAGCAGTGCTGGTCATAGTCCAATGTTTCAGAGTTTTAGGGAAACTTCTCTTTCTTTTTTTGCTTAAATAGCCTTGCCCTCTCCTGCTTTCTCCACAGCACTCAGGGTGAAAAACAAAACCTGTGACGGACACGCAGGAGGCCCCGGAAAATGCCCTCTCTTCCGGTGAACAAGTGTTTCTGAGTTAAGCTCACCGTGCTTGGCTTTCTGCTGCCTCAGGCCACTTCTCTCATTCCCCATGTGTGTTCACCCCAGTTCATCAGCCACATCTGAATTCCAACCGAGGCTCAAGCAGGACCTGTACTACAATACAGAAAGCCGAAGCAGTAAGATGCATCTCTAAATTCTAGAAATGCAAAAATGCAGAGCAAGAACTCTGTAGGAACAGGGATATTTATCAGTTTTATTCCTGAACCTAAAACACTGCCTATAATAATTCTTTACAGCTGAATGAATGTCTTCTGGTCCCACACAGCAAGCTATTCACAGGAACAAAAGCCTGCTTTCTAGCTCCCCATTGCAAAGACAGCTTAGCTAGACTAGGATGAATGGGGCCGAGGGATACCTCACCAGGTCTGTGTACACGTTGACTTTTCAGCCTTCTCTAAAACAAGCCCAGCAAGCCCGCCTTGCTGGCAGTTTTGCTCATCTCAGGCAGTGAGCAGATTAAGGCCAGCTCCTTTCCCGTCCATGCTGGGCCCGCTGCTGCCACCTGCTGAAGCTCATGCAACCTCTCTCAAAGCAGGGACTCCTAAGTCTTTTGCATCACACACACCTTTTGAGAATCCAATGAAAATCACAGCTCCTTTCCAGAAAGAAACAATGTATTGCACAGATACACAAACACAAATTTTATATAGTATTTCAAAAGGCTGAAGAGGCCCCCGGAGACCCACCATATAACACTAATGGTAGAATCGGAAACAAACCAATCTAAAAACCAAGGAGCTATTTTCTTTCCTGTTAAGGAAATGTTCAAACATGCACAAAACCAGAGAGAAATGGCGAAGAAACCACCATGGACCCAACAGCTAGCAATAGTCTGCCATTCTTGTTTCATCCACTCCCCTCCCAACTGAAACACTTTTGCTTTTGCTGGAATATTTTAAGGCAAATCTGAGATAGCTCTTAATTTTATCTATAAATACAACAATATATATTCAAGTGATCAGGACTTCTCTTTCTTTAACATAACCATTAAACCATTATAACACCCAATAAAATTAACAAGGCTTCCTTCATATTATCTGGTACTCAGACCACTTTGAATTTCCTATTGTCTCAGGAATCACTGTCTGACAGTGGTTGGCTTGGATCTGGATCCAAACGAGGTCCACCCATTGGGCTGGGTTGACATATTTGTAAAGTAAGAGTTCGTTTTCACTGTGTTGAGTGGAAGCCAGATCAGTTGGTTATTTGATGAAGGAGGGGAGGGAAGGCATGCATGTGGGGAGGGGCAGGAGACTGAGTTATGAAAAACCAATTTTTTTTTAAATGAGGACTTTTTAGAATTCTTACTTGATCCGTTCAAATTATAAAAATAAAATTAGATGACAGTCTAGTTTTCTCTTGACCTCAATGGCCAGTTAAAACTATGAACCCAGTGGGTCAGATTTCACGTTTCTCATCTGAATCAGTAATGGATAAGCTCTACGTAGGCTACTGAGCATTTACATTTGCTCTCACTCTCCTTCTGTTCCTCGAGCAGGATAAAAAAGTATTGGCTGTGTTAAATAGAAAAGCCAAAGTCCTCAGACACACACGAGCCTGCTCGGTGGGGACCACGCCAAAGCTCTTAGGCTCCCATTCACTTGTTGATACGTGAACCCCTGCATATAAGGGGCTCACCTGCTGTCCTGCTTGTGCATCCAGCGCTGATGACCGTCACTGGCGTTTTTCTCCACCAAAACCACCTCCACGCCTGAACGCAGGTCGGGACCGCGCACCCCCACGACCAGCTGGGGGGCGGCAAGGCTTATGATTTGCCCATCTCTGTATTCAAACTGCTGGTGGCAAAGCTTCTGCAATTTGCTGCGCTTTGAAGAGTAACTGAGATAGAGAAAATCCCATTAGGTGCAGAAAAATATCCCGAGCCCTTGATGCGCTGGAGGTGGCAAGTCGTGTTTGGGGGAGGCCGGCCGTGAACCAAAGTCATTCACAGTGGCGAGCCACCACCGAGGGGCGGCCCCAGTGCCACTCGAACTGCCACGCTGTGGCCAAGGGGCAGCTCTGAGTTTATTTAGTAACGGAATAAACGTTTATCCGAGAGGAGAGGAGAAGCTCATCAGCAAAGGAAAGAGACATTCAATTAGGAGATAATTTAGTTAAGGAGGAAAAATAAGTTAGGAAAGGGGGAATCGAATCAAAACAGAAGAATAAAGGAGTTCTGTTTAAACCATGAGTGTTTCTATCCTCTATCTACAGACTTTTTGGCAAATAGAAACTTCTCCAAGTTTTTCAATTTTCCCTCACAACTCATACTCATAACAACTCAATATATCACAAAAGAAAAGATAAGATGCTAATAATTTAAAGGAATCTCTTACTAAGGATCTTAAGGGATTTAGCAAGCTTATTAAACATACTAAACATCACAATGCATTGGCAACTAAATTAACTTNACAACTCAATATATCACAATAGAAAAGATAAGATGCTAATAATTTAAAGGAATCTCTTACTAAGGATCTTAAGGGATTTAGCAAGCTTATTAAACATACTAAACATCACAATGCATTGGCAACTAAATTAACTTATAAACATCTATTAAGCCCCTACTATGTGCATAGACTAACACTAAATATTGAAGTGCCAAAACTGTTTAATACATATAAGCTGCTATAACATTTAACAAATGTCTAAAGATGAGAGAACAATGCAAGGCCCTTTAGATTCCTGTCATTTCACTGGACACTGACCATAAAAAAATAAAATTAAAGAAGAAGAAATTGCATTTTACTAAATTCTTAAAGACATCGGAGCATCTTACATATTTATGCATAAGTTCATTCACACATTTATTCCACAAATATACAAGCTCCGTGCTAACTTTTCAGGAGGTAAAGATGGATGAGCTTTACAGAGAAGACACACCAGTAAAAAGAAATCACATTAGTTAAATAGTTAAAGTGAGAAGGACCTTCCCATCAATACTTGCAAGTGTTTCAGTCGAAAATACAAGACAAGCGTGTGTATGCTGATGAAAACAGCAGCTCACAGTCCTGCAAACGCTTAGGAAGATTCTTGCCCCACAGTGAGAACACCTAAGACCAGCTGGGAATCTCTAACAGGAATCCGTTGCACCATTTTACCTGTATGCCCTCTGTGGCTCCACATTTTCAAGGAGCTTTTCCTGCATTTTCTTTGGGAAACTGTCCCCCTCATCCGAGTTATGAGAAGTTTCCTGCCAGGCATACTTGAGAGGTGAGTGACGAGCCTCCATTCGGAGATGGGCTCTTGCATGTGCATCTCTATCGAGGTTCAAAAACAAACACGAATCTGAGAATTCTGACTTCCACTCACGGAATTTTCTCTGAGGTGTAGTCTGATTGCTTCCTGGAGGGTACTAGCAGATCTGTAAATCATATTTCCATAACGGCGCCTAACACTGCAAATCCACGTCCTACTAATACATCATTTAGACTTTTTAATATAAAATCGCAAATAAAATTCCTCAATTGCATAGTAAACAGCATTCATCTTTCATTAGATTTACTTAGAAAAAAATGGGACAGTGATTATATTTCAAAAATTATAAGAATAGCAAGTCAACAGTTTAAGAAATTCCTCAGAAACATGGAACGAGACTCCTTGTTCTCATTCATACATGGGTCATACTTCGGTCTGGAACAGTACAGCCTAGATTACTGGGTTTCATAAAGTTTATTCATTAGACAAGTTAAAGGGATCTTAATTAGCTTTTCCTCTCAATAGAGGAATCTAGGGGGACACGAACAGCCTTGGCACACAGGTTCCAGCTTTTGATGGAGAATTAACACTCAGAGTAAGTCGTCACCATCGACAGCTGTGCCCACCTTCTGGCTCCTTACTAAGAAGATGTTCGTGGAAGCACAGCCGCCACACAGATCTGTGTATGTCCAGTTCCAGGCCACCGGTTAGGGCACGTCTGCCTTCCACAGGATCATGACACGGTATGTGTACTGCTCGGCTGAAGGCAGGATAAATGTACAGGCAAAGCAGCGAGCATATTTCTGCATTCTAAATATGCATCTATGTAAATCACGCTCTCTGGGGGAGGCTGTGATCACCAAGGGCTGGTGGTAAATTGATATAACTGTAAGCACCATCAAATTACCAAAATCTTCAGGGATGTGTCCTGTGTTAGCAGAGCAGACCATGCACTTTTCCAGTGTAATGAAAGTGTGACACGTGGATCTGAAATTGGTGGGCCTTCTCAAACGAAAAAAAAAAAAAAAATCTCATTAACTGTTAAAAAAACAACAGTGCCATCTTGTGTTTAAAAAAAAACCAAACATTCAGCTTTCCCATGAACTCCATTTCTTTGCGGAAAAGAGAGAGAGAGAAAGGGTCATTTCTAGCTTTAACGTATTCAGCAGGGTGTAAACAATATTCTTCCTCCAAACTGAGATGTTTCATTTTCTAACTTGGAATTTATCGATATGCTCTCAGGTTTCCAAACAAATGAAGTCCAGTCAAGTCAATTTTAAAACAGCCATTTTAAAATCCATCTGGCTATATTAATTCATTCACTTTCCTATTCATTCATAAAACTAATTATTCATTAGTTATTCATTTCTTTAACTAATATTTATTGAACACCTACTATATGATAGCTGCAGAGTTCTAAGTGTCGGAATACGGTGATAAACAAAACAGAAAAGTTATCAGGGTTCTTGGAGCTTACATTCTAGTGGAAAGAGGAGAGGTAAGAGAATGAACAAATAAACAAGATAAGTGCCATAAGTGAAATAAAACAGAATATTGTGATACAAATGGGCTGGGGTGGGGTATACTTTGGTAATGGACTTAGAGAAAGCTCTTCTGAGAGATGATGTTTGAGTTGAGATCTGGACAATGGGAAGGAGTCAGCCACGTGAGAATCTGGAGGGAGAGCATTCCAGGCAGAGAAAAGAACAAATGGAAAGGCTCTGAAGCAAGGATATGTTTTTCTCCTTTGAGGAACAGAGCCTGCTGTGACAGGTATGCAGTGAGTGAGGGGGCGGGTAATAGGAGAGGAAGCTTAGGAGGTGGGCAGGGCCTGCCTGTAACGCAGGGAAGAAAAGGGAAGGTTCCCCCACCCCCACCTGTGCCAGGCTCTGAAAGCCTTTCCATCCATAAAGCATCAAAGCAGAAGCTAGTGCTCCCCGAGTCTCTTTTTCACTGTGCTTCTTACCATTTTTACCAGAAATCTTTACATAGAACCCAGCTATCCAAAGGGTTCCTTCCAGATTTATGTTCAATCTCTTGCTGTATGGATGTCCCTTCTTAAATCACCCTATTTTCCAAATATGTGAAAACTGCCAAACAAACATATGGAAGAAAGTCTAGGAAAATCTTACAGTGACTTTCTAATGTGAGATGATTTAGAATCAAGTCATCAGAATTGGTTCAAAGTACTAATGAAAGTTAGTCTGGAAAAGAGATAACCCAGTGGGCTAGTGAGGGTGAGCTTTGAATGGTTTAAGGACTTTGAAGTAGAAGAGTAGGGCATAGAACAGAGATACAGATGAAGTCATAGGACGGAGATCTTCCAAACCATTATTTCAACATTAAAACGGGCTGCCTTGTGAAACGGTGATCTCCTTGTTACTAGGGGTATTCAAGAAGAGACTGTATCAAAAGGGCCTGTCTGGAACATGCAGGAGATTCCTGGATTATGTTCTGAGTGGACTCAATCACTTTTACCTCAAGGACTTGGTTATGGTGAAACTTATGAATCAGAACACGGTGAATCTTTGCTCTCAAAGATGTTCTTTCTTTTTTTCTTAGTTTCTGTTTATTTTTTTCCAAGTGCAGTCTAATAACTCAGAGACTAGATGATACATTTTTAAAAAGAAGAATGAAAGGGGATGTTGGGAAAGTTTGTGGTCAATCCCCTAACCATTGAGGAAGATACCAGAGAGGTCAAAGCATTCTTTCTGACAAAGGCCTTCTGGTGCTTCTGTTAATGTGAGGACACAGAACCAATGACTCACTCGTCAAAATGTGTAAGTTTGATTCCTAAAATTGATATTCTTATAATTAAGGATACGAACAGTCTTTTTAAACCGTTTATAACAATGGTATATAAATTAACTTTCGTAGTTATTGCAATGGCAATTGGTCAGCTATTTGGGGTTTTATAATTTGAAAACTCAATCACTTATTTATTCCATAAATAATTATTAAAGTCAGTTACCCTGCTCTTCACAGAAGACATGTGACAGAGTTTTGGCCCTCAGGGAATTTCCAGGTTGGTGGCTGTTAGCATGGCAAGGGGGGGGCACAGAACTTTGCTACCTATGATCATCACTATGATTGATTTCATGGTGAAAAATCACTCCACAGGTGAGGACAGGTAAGACAAGGCACTCCAGGTGGAGAGGAAGGAATACGTGGCTCAGAGGCCTGCAATGGTGCATGAATGGAGCATGACACATCCAGGTGACAGCTTGTAGCTGCTGAGCTAGAGCGTGGAGTTCATGTGGCAGGAAGAAAAAAATGTAGAGTGGAGGCGGGCAGAGGGGTCCAGTGAGGGCCAATGACAGGCCTGGCCCAGGGTCAGAAAGGCTCAGGATTCTAGACTAAATATTTTCTTCTGTCTGCATAGGTAGCCATTAAAGAACTATAGAGAAAGCAGTGTGTTTTGGAAAGATAACTGTCCATAGATGGAACTTAAGGCGAATTGGAGGGTAGATTACTGTGGAGATCAAGGCCCGTGAGAAAGGTTTGCAGAGATCCGGGAGGGCAGCTGTACATTTGCATGCACCCAGCCTGAAACTAGGTCAGGGAAGAAACCTTCCTGAGGCCACATTTACGGAAGCAAAACATGATGAATTCTTCAAATAAATGTCTGCGATTCTATGATTCTAGTCCTTAAAAAACAGCAGCATTATAACAAAATGACTGAAAGCAGATCATCGCGATGGCTGAACATGGACGCTCCAGCTCCGTCCTTCTGCCGGGAAACCAATTAAACTCGAGCCCTTCCCCTGACACCGTCTCGCACGCTCGGCGTGGGCTCCCCACGTGGGCTCTGCGCTGGCCTCAGGCTAATGAGCTGAGTTCAAAGGCTAAGCAGGTAGCTTTTCTGGCCACACCGATTACTTACAGAATTTTACTGGCAGCGCTTTCCGTTGTAAAAGCATTTTTTTGCACTTGCTCCCCCTCTGCTTCTATAATTTTCTTCTCTCCTCCAAAAGTCGCCGCAGGTTTACACACAGCAAGCCTGGCTCCAGGCACAATGTCACTTTGGACTTCCAAAACAAAAGCTGAGCAGAAATGCACAAATCGCAAGGACAGATTCGTTATCATTGCAGAGAAATAAAGGAAAGCCCGTGCTAAAAGGAAAATGCAGAAAACTCCCAGCTACGTGCTATAGGAACACATCTTAAGAGTAAAGGATAGTTGCTTTTTAAACTAACACAGTGGAGGGCCCTGGCCAGGTAGCTCAGGGGGTTAGAGCATCGTCCTGATACGCCAAGGTTGCAGGTTAGAACCCTGGTCAGGGCACATACAAGAATAACCAATGAGTGTGTAAGTGGAACAGCAAATCAATGTTTCTCTCTCTCTCTCTCTCTTTTTCTTCCCCTCTCTCTCTAAAAACTCAATTAATAAATAAAAAACTAAACTACTACATTGGATTTCACTTAATTTAATTTTACAGATTCTTTCCTCTCAAGATATTCTTAGTCGAAATACTAAGTTTTTCCAAAATTAAGGAAGTTATTGTAAATTCTATTTAAATGGGCTACATTATTTAGATATATGTCTCTAAAGCATTCTCTGGAGTCCCAAGCTCCTCAGTAAAAGTCCCCAATGCTTTGAAAGACACATGCAAAGCTTACTGTACCGTGTTCAACATATGCAACAGGGTAAAGTTTTAAATTATAGTAACAATTTTCCCTTTCTGCCGTTCTACATATAGGACCTTTGTCCTGGTCCCTGAGGCAGCCTTACGGGAAGGAGGAAGATCATGAGATGAGAAATGTTACAAGACTACAAAGATAGCTTTGACTCTCAAGCAGAGCATAAGACAATGGCCATGAAAGTCGGGATGACACTGTCAGGATTTAGGCCTTTAGCTCCCGTTTAGCATATCAAAGGTTTAACCGCTCTCAGAGTTGACCTGGGAAAACCCACCATTTCTGGGCCTGCAGGGATTTGAGGATTTGAGGCAGAAGACAGAGGAAAGCAGAGACCCAGTGCGCGGTGTCATGGTTCCCCTACAGGCTCCACTTCAGGTATCTGAGCTACCCTAACAAAGCACTAAATACACTGCTCACAGGACATTTAACGAGTCAGGCAGCCTTCAACACACCACTAAAATCTGAACTTGGAAATGGTTTCTGGGAGGTGCAGCGGTGGCCCAGGAATTGCTGACAGCTGTACTGGGTGCTTTCCCAAAGAGGCTACCCAACAAAGGTCAAGGGGTCCTGCAGCAAAGACTTGCAGAGATGACTACCCAACAACAAGCAGGCTTCCGAGGGCCGGGGGACCAGAGGAGGGGCTGGGGCAGGCAGGAAGCAGCACCCACACAAAGCATGATTTGAGCCAGAAGGATGGAACAGCATCACCCAGCCATAGACCTCAGCCAGCAGGGTCCAGAAAATAATAGGATCTGCACCCCAAGTTCTTTCCTTCTTTCCTAGAGAGGAACTAAGGTGAGACTGGAAACTGGCAAATCTGAGAGCTCCCCCACCCCAAAGGGACTATTTAAATTACTGTATAAGATAAAATTTAAACCTGACTAAACATTTGTGTTTTCCTTGATGGGGGTCCAAGGGGCTCACAAAGACGACCCAATTTGTTAAAGACAAAATAAATTATGTTTTCTTTGCACAACCAAAGTGTAGTGTGAATTAAGATATGCAGCTCTGTTGAATATAAAAATTAGCCTGAAGAGCTAAAGACCTGTTTAAGTAACCTACATTTTTTTTTTTTTTTAAAAGCACTATCATCAAATACTTTATTTTGGCTGTGTACATTAAGGTAAGTAATTCCACTGCTTACCGTCTAGCTTACGTGTGCTGCAGAAGGCTTGAAGCTTAGAGACATCTGATGCTAAGTTCCTCAGGAAGATCTGCTTCTTTTGATGAGCAACGGACAGGTCAGGACTGATCCAATGTTCTCCACATGAAACATACACCTATCAAAGCAACGAGTCTCTGGTCCCAATCACAGCAGCATTAGTTGTAATAGCCAAGACTGAAAACAATCAAAACTTCCTACAGTAGGCGAGTAGTTAGATTGTGGCTTCATGGAATAATACTTAGCAATTAAAAAAGCACGAACTATTGATAAATGCAACAACTTTGATGGCTCTCGAGAGTTGTGTATGAAAAAAGCACTTCATACTATCATTGCAACTTCTGTGAACCTATAATTATTTCAAAATAAAAAGTATTTTAAAATAATTTTTTGAAGGAAGGAGACGTAAAGAAGGAAGGCAGGGAGGAAGGAAGGAGGGAGGAAAGGCAGGAAAGGGGGGGAGGGAGGAAAGGAGGGAAGGATAAATGAAGAGCTGCAAACTCTGACTGAGACCCAAATCTGGCCCGCTGCCTGTTTTCAAATAAAGTTTTATTGGAACACAGCTATGCCCATTCATTTACATGTTGTCTGTAACTGCATTTGTGCTACAATGGCAGGGTTTCGACAGAGACCATCTGACCCTATGCAGGAAAAGTTTGACAACCACTTATATAAATGAACTTGTAGTATATGCACCAAAATGTTACTGTGGATATTTCTAGATACTGAGATTAGGGATGATTCTTTTTCTTTTTCATTTTGCTTACATGTGTTTCATAAATGTCCTTACATAAATACATATTTCTTTGAAGGAAAAAATAGATATTTCTATATATTGAGAAAGATTCAATATGAGGAAAGAGGAACCCCATGCTGCCCTTTTGAAGCCGCTCACTGATCATTACACACATCCTTTGTATGAGGACTCAGGAAAAACTTTCTCAAAATTTTCTTTTTGAACAATAGATTTCTTTTTCCTCTGATGGGCATACTTAATCATGTAACTGTTCATGTTTCAGTCTTCATGTTGGCTGCTCAGGTCAGTGACAAGTTCATTTCTAGCAAAAATACAAGATCTTAGAACACTCGCTCCTGGCTCCACCTGATCCTCCTACGTTCACATGTCCTTTGCCCTGGTGGCTCACCTGCTTGTTTTTTAATTACATTTGTTTACCTTAAATTCTTTCTGAACTAACACAGTAAACGAGCACTGCAGCAAACTCTGTGTGTGTGTGTGTGTGTGTAGCACCAGAATTCAAAACAAGACTTGCCAGTCTCCAAGAACAATAGACTCCACCCTCTTACGCTGCCTCTGAGGCTGGTCATTGAGGTTTCTGTTTGAGACTCTCTCGAGGAGTCTTCACATTCAGAGCCTGAATTGAGTTCTGATAATATGGTGGGGGCTTGGTTTTCTGTTTCAAGAATTTCAGGCAGCAGTCAAGGCAAGTTTTCTCTTCAAATATGATGCCTCCAATTCCATAAATGGGAGAAAAGACTGGGCTGCTAAAGTCCTTCTTGGCCTTCTCCAGCCAGCCAAATAGAGTGTGTAAAAACCTAGATATAATTTTTTTCTGAAAAGGGTGACATTATCATTAAGTTATAAATCACTAAACAGCTACATTTTGAAGACCTCAAAAAGAAGAGAATCTACTTCCTCCAGAGTAGGATCAAAATCACAAGCAGTTAATAATTTGATCTCCTTCATTTACAAAATGAGAGCATCCATCCCATAGGGTTGTGATGAGCATTAAATGAGTTAATTCATATATGGCCCTGAAAATCATGCCTGGCACATAGTAAGCTCTCAACAGTTGGCTATTGGTATTACTCTCTGATGGTTGCTAAAAATAGGACAATTCTGAGAAAATAAATAAGAGGAAATAGGGTAAATGTTTGAAGTCTTATATTTTAAAACATTTAAAAATATTATTCATATGTTAATATTTCCAGTTTTTCATTCATGTCTTTACCAGTCCATCTCTTTGAAGATCTTTTATGGTAAAGATTTCCTGCCCCTCTTCATTGAACAATCTCCGAGCTGCAGAAGGTAAATTTAAAACTTCAGTACACCTGTAATAAAAGACACAAAAATTGACCTTGCATACAGAAAGCTCCCAGCAGAGAACAGGGGAAATAAAAGGAATCAAGGGCCTAGATCATTTGTGACAACTTCTGCAAGGCCGTGTGTGTCAAGAGCTGGGCTCTGGGGCCCATCAGACCCCTTTTGAGCCTCTTTCTCCCTTCCCAAGCTGTGGGACATGGGCATTTTTTAAACTGTCTAGGCCGAAATGACTCACTTTCCAGGGTTGTTACGAGGATAACCAGTTGATTTTAAAAAGTGTTTAGTACATTGCCAGGCATGACCAGTCATTACTGACTTATTTCTCAGTATGCCCCACGCTCGCCCATTTCCTTGCTCTCCCTTCTACCTAAAACACCTTCCTTAGCTTTTTCTGTTGAAGTTCTCTTTTCTCCAAAGCCACCAAAGTCACATTCCTTACCAAGTGATTCCTCATCTCCCTTCTCCAGAAGTGATCTTTATAGCCCTTTAATTTCCTTTGAAATAGAATTTTTTTGCTTGGTTAAACATTAAACAGTGATTTTTTCCCCCAAAAAAACAAGCACTGGGCCAGCCCCGTGGATATCAAGATGAATGATCAGCTTCTCTGTTCCCTCCCTAGTCAGGGGGAGAGACAGGTCAGCAACTGAAGTGTGATATGAAGCAGTGGGTGCTGTTAGAGGCCCCTGGCCAGGGTCCTGCGAGAACACAGGGAAGCTTGATGAGTTCCTCCAGGGAGCCGTGCCTAAGGGAGCAGCATTGGGGTTGGGCCTTGACAGATGACTAGGCATTCATCAAGGACGGTTATGACCTAGAGAAGATTTTATGGCTGGCGCTGAGTGTATGCGCAGGAGGAGGAGCCAGATGAAGCTGGAAACAAAAATAGGAACTGACTGAAAGCATTTAGGCTGCCAAGTTAATGAACTTGGCCTCTATCCCATAAACAGCAAGACGTCACTGAAGAGACATCGAGCAGAGGTGCAGTGTCATCAGATCTGCTTTTTAGAAAGTTACCTGTCAGAAAGGTGAAAGATGGACTGGAGGTGGGCGAGGCTGGAGTCTACGCAACCAGCTTTGGTTAGAGGAAAAGGGGTAGAATTGTGGGGAAGAAGAAACAGAGCTAAAGGAGAGTGATGGGACTTTTCCTACTGAGTACTGTCGAGATGGCCCTGCCATTGGAAGAAGGGAGGTGAAAGGTTCTTGCTAAATATATTTTATATGAGAATGTACCATCTACAGCAAACAAATTAGCTTAGAAGTGACTTTATGCTCATCAGGAAGTCTTGGTTGTACAAAGAATATTTCTCAATTTTATTTCCNCTCATCAGGAAGTCTTGGCTGTACAAAGAATATTTCTCAATTTTATTTCCATAGATGGCAAAGAGCAGATAATTAGGCCTCCATTCCTCTGAAAAGGAAATAAGCTAGTGGGAACTAAATTTCTTCTTCTCATGTCACAAGTCTGGAAGCTGGTGAACCAATGAGGGTTGGGCTGTGTTTCACAGCTGCAGGAGTTGGTGGGATGGGGGTAGGTAGGGCTGTAAGAGGATTGAGCCCCAGTCACAAGATTTGCCTAATTCTCTTAGGGTACCACCCAGAGACCCAATTTCACTCCTTCTACTTTCCCCAAATCAGTATCTTGTCAGGTCCAAGTAGTCCCAGCCTGACCTAAGAAGAATTACCATCACCATCTCTGCTCCCACTCAGATTTTCCTAGAAGAACATTTGGACTATGGGAGCATCCTATTTTAGGATAGCAAGTGGGAGATTAGAAGGTGGTTGGTGAACTTTTTTCCTTCTTATTTTGAAACCCTAGTTTCAATAGTGCTGGATTTGATTGCCTCATGTAGGCGGGTTGGAGAGGTTTGGGATAGGCTGTTTTTCTATTTTTCTAACTATTCATGTCAGCCAATACAAAGGGGGAGAGGAGAGGGGAAAAAATGGCTCTTAAGTGCCTAATATGGAATGCGGACCCTGGAGTCAGATTGCCTTGGTTCAAATTCTAGCCCTTTCATGTACTGGCTGTGCAACCTTGGAGAAGTTACTAAACTTCTCTGAGCCTCATTTGTTCCATTAAAAGACAGATATGGTAGAACTTATCTAATAGGGATATTTTACAGCTTAAATGTGTGATACCTCTAAAGCTCCTGGCACATAAAAATCAGCAACATTGTTAAAATGGACCAAGCACTGCAAGCATTTCATGTCTACTCTCTTAATTCTCATTTCTGAGAGGCCCATTTTACTGATGAGGAGACTGAGCCTGGAGGTTAAGCTCCTTGCCCAAGGTCATATAACTAGAAAGCAGGACAGCTAAAATTCAAACCTAAAACTCTTCGGGTCTTTCACTACCTCACATGGCCTCCTGAGAGTACATCATCATAGAATAACAAGATATTATATCTACAGAGTGAGTCGGTAGGCTGGGTTGCTGAGCAAGTAGGCCAGGATTTCTCTGTTACGTACAGGCCAAGGGCCTGGGAATAAAGTCCTCTGACTCTCACACCAGAAGCAAGGGTGGGTAGTCATGCGCCTGCTTGGACTTAGAGTCCAGAAAAGCAGGGTCTTATCTTTCACTTTGCTTCCTCAAACTGGAGTGGCGGAGGAGCCTCAGAGGGTGCTGGTCCAAGACTGTATCCCAGCCCCGCCCAGGATGCCCCGAGAGCGGGGGGGGGAAGGGGGAGGCAGGAGCTGCGTCTCCGGGCCAGAGGGCTGCAGCTCCGCAATGGTGCAGCCTCCCTTCCTCCAGGCACTTGGGGGGACCCCCTCCCCAGCAACCCCAGAACATTCTCCCTGCGATTTAAAACAATAACAAAATATACCAAAAGCTGTGGGTATGTGCTTCCTTCTTTACCTCCTCCTCTTGCTTTATATCTCTACTTTCATCTCTCTCACATTCTCCCCTCCATGCTGCCTCCCCGACGGCCGCTCCTCATGAGGTTTGCTCTCCTTCCCGGTTGTAAAGTGATCCTTCGATCATTTCCACTTCTGCACAATTAAAACTGCCCTTCCTGACTGTTTCAATAAGCAAACTCTCTTCCCAACAAGTTAGCAGTTTCCTGACAGCAAGGGACATCTTGCCCTTAAAAAAAAATCTCCTGGTTGATATATACGGTATGAACACCACAGGTATCGAATCAAGTTCTTTCTTGCCTTCCTCTTAGCTCTTCATTCAACTCTCCTGCTTAACAAAGAGGAAATGAGACTGAGAGAGGCAGTGCTTTGCTGAGGGTTTCCAGCTAGTTAATGGCAAACCTGAGATTAAAATCAATTCCCTTTACTCAAATGGCCTTTCCAATATCCCATGTTTGCCGCAACATTAGGTATCCACAAAAACGTTCTATACCTATTATTTTTAAATGGGCTGTTATGCTATTAGAGTTTTCTTAGGCTTTGTAGATGGAAAAACCAACAACAAAAAAAGATCCTCAAAACCGTCTTGTGTGAATTATTAAATATCTAAAGGACAGCACAATTTCCCTTAAATTCAATAAGACTGCCTCCTTGTAGTCAACGAGACATGTTTTGCAAGAAAGTTTATACCAGGTGCTCTGCCTTGAATAGTTATCAGATTCTATGGGAATACTTTTGCTTTGGTAGGAAAATATTGATCAAAAGAAAATTACAGCATTTCACAAATAAGATATGTTCGAGGCATATAAAAATCGATTTAAGGTAGTTAACTACCCTGCCTTCAATTCAAATATAAACCAAAGAAAAGTGTTGTAAAACTATGAGATATATTTTTTAAGTGGGGATAAGTTATATTTACAGAGTTGATAGTTCAGAAGCTGGAGGAAATTGCCTCGATGTTTAGGGAAAATATATTCATTACCATTGGTATCATGAACTCACAGAGTTGGATATATTTCACAGATTAAAAATTCTAAAATTATTATATTAACAACTGTTTTCTTATGTAGGTACATATGTATTTTGTGTTCTGCATAAGAGGTAATCATGTAGGCATTAAAATGGAAAATACCGTTGCATTTAGAGTAGTAAATATTTACCTCTCCAAAAGTTGATGAAATTCCACCTGCTTTGTTTCTGTTTCAGAATTTTTAGCGACATAATTTTTCACATTCTCTTTCACTTTAGTGTCAACATTTCTGAAACAAATGATCCAAGATTTGATTGATATGTCAGCATATATTGCCAATTATCTTTCAACTTGTTTAAATACGTGAAAAAAACATGAGGTTTTAATTTATCATAATTTGCCCCCTAATAATCTGTCTCTTAGAAAAACATGGTTTCTAAAACTATCACAATTAAATATTAAACTTCCTGAACATTTATGCTATAAGCAATTTATATAAGAAAATAAATTTTCAAGATTTTAATACTCTTCCATGAAGGCTGAGCACTCTGAGATGTGGATTTACCACGTTTAAAAAGAATGCAGAGATGAAGTTTATTTTCTCTGTGATGTTTTAATCATATATTGTTCATATTCATATGCTTATTTATATATTATAGATGATCAATCCAAACCTGAAAATTGTTAAACTGAAAAATACATAATGGTGTATGTAGAAAAGAATGCTTAATTGGAACATACATCTCTTCAGACTTCCAAGTTAGCAAACTATCCTGTGTATTTTAAAAATCTCTGCATTTTATGAAAGAAATAGTTAGTGGTCAACTATAGTTGTTCATTTGTTTATTAAAAATAGTAATAAAATATAATTAACCATTAATTCATTCATTCATTCATTCCTTCCTTAAGCACTGATTTCGGGCCAGCTGTGTCCCCTAAATCATGTGGTGAATAAAGTGACTTAATATTCGACTGACCGGGACACACTGTCCCATGGCTGTACCGTAGCAGAGAGCACATGATGGACGAACAGCGCACTATCCTGGTTCTCTGTCTCCGGGATGGAGACCTAAGCGGATAATCACAAAGACTGACAGGAGCCATAGCGGTGGAAAGCAAGGGGGAATTCACAGAAACTTTAGGTAACTCATGCAAGGGGAGGGAAGTTTCGAGTTCAGAGTCAGCATCTAGCAATAAAGTCCAAACTCGTTCTCAGAAGGCCTTTATTATTGAGGCAGATGGGAGGTGCTGGGGAGTGGAGGGGATATAAGGGTGGAAATTGGGGGGAATGTGGATAAGAGATGCAGCTAGAGAAAAATGCAGGGATAGGTCATAAAGGGCCATAAAAGCTGTACTAAGGAGCTTGAGAGAGTCCAGGGATTATAACTTACTGATAACTTACTCATTGAAATGATCTAAAATATAGTTTTTCTTTATAGCTTCAAACTGAGCCTTTCTTCTTACAATTCCTTAAAATATCACTTACAAAATTTTCTTAGTTGAACTTTGTTTACAGTTCTGAGAGGTGAAATTCACCTGTGACACAGAAGTCACAATGGTCTTAATTTATATAAATTTGACCACCACTATCAAGACTATTTGACAAGATTTTGTTACTCACTAAGATAAACATCAACTAAGTAAGGAACAAATGCTATTTGGTCTTCCTTTGGCTTCGTAGATGGCGCAGTCAACAACGAACGACAAAAGCTTGCCAAGCTGCCAAGAGTGAATTATTAAATCACTAAAGGATAGCATGCTACCAAAGCAGGATTTGTTTAAAATGGATCTATACTTCATCATTCCAACCTGATTTTATTTGTAAAGACACTAAATAGACCAACCCTCTTTCTTCTTATAAATAAGCTTCAGGTTAAGGCAAACAATTTACCCCTACATGTGATTTGCATTTATTTATTCTGGCAGAGAAGATACCTGACTTGGATATATTAAAAGCAGCACAGCACCCAGTTGGCATGGCCCAGTGGTTGAATATCGACCTATGAACCAGGAGGTCATGGTCAGGGCACATGCTTAGGTTGTGGGCTCGATTCCCGGTAGGGGGCATGCAGGAGGCAGTTGATCAATGACTCTCTCATCATTGATGTTTCTATTTCTCTCTCTCCCTCTCTCTTCCTCTCCCTGAAATCAATAAAAAATAACAATAATAATAGAGGTAGCACAGTAAGGCTTCCACCTTGCATGGCTCTGGGGCGCCATGCATATAGAATACAATGGAAACAGCGGCTGCTGGAGCTGGGTAGCAGGGCCTCCCTATAGTGTCAGCCAAATCCCTTGCCACTGAATCTCTGTTACCAGGACTTACAACAGCTCTGAGGGGAAATGCTATTGATAATCCTGCAGAAAGCTTTCTGAGTCAGCCAAGAAAAATTAAACTATATTTAGCAGAGTTTTAGAGTCAAGTGTATGCCAGTGTATTTTAATTATTTGGGAAAATTAATTCATGTAGTGGACAAAGTGAGCACTTGATTAACCAGGACACACTGCTCCGTGAAGATAGAGCAGAGCCTTTCACAGACTCTTCTGGAATAGCTGTCCAAATGAACAAATCTCTCAAATTGTGTCCAGATTACCTTATTGAACTGTGCATTTAAAACATTAATGAGAAAAGACAAAATCTGTATATAATTTTGAGCCACAGTTAAAGATATAGAATAAGAAAATATAAATGTAGGAAGAGACAGAAATTATTTGTTAAGTTTTATGCTAAAAAAAGTCATATACTACTTTAAGGGCATTACCCTCACATTTTACATCTAGCAGAATGAGCTAATTATGAAATGTATGCGTCAAAGATTTCAATTTCAGGCTTGACTTTACTTTGGAGATTAATTTTTTACTTTATCATCTTTACAAGGCAGTTCAGTGGACAACCGATCTGAACGTTGCTAGTTGTTCAGCGATGTATGAAGTATATTTAATCAATGTGAAGAAAGTTATATTAAACTATTATCAGCAGCCTCAAATATTCTAAACATCTCAAAGGAAAGGTCAAGAGGTAATATCACTGCTAATCATATGAGAAACAATGTGTTTAACTCGTTCTTTATATCAGAGCTCTGCACTGATCTATGATTCCTTTTGTCACAAAATATAAAGAAAATATAGCAGGTGATTTTTCTCCAATGCTGGAGAAATATTGGCTGTTTGGGAAGAGTTGATTCAAGTCTCCTAACATAAGCTCAAGTGCAGATCAATCTTTTCTACGATGAAATTTTAAAATGTTATTCCAAGTCAAGGATATAAAAATTATATAAAATTATATGTTGAANAAAGTGCAGATCAATCTTTTCTATGATGAACTTTTAAAATGTTATTCCAAGTCAAAGATATAAAAATTATATAAAATTATATGTTGAAAACTATATTTATGTGTTAAATATGCCACAAATATAAATGTAAATAATTGTGTATAATAATGGCNAAATATGCCACAAATATAAATGCAAATAATTGTGTATAATAATGGCTTGAATAAGGAATTGTAAAATTATATTTAAGAATGAATTTATGAGCTCGATTATTTCAAAATACATTAATAAAACTCAAACAAAAATTTTTAATTCAAAATAGATGTTGATGTAAAATGTTTTCAGAACTACTCAATTCTAATTCATTATTTTATCCCATGCCTAGCTTAAATCTAAAGTCCAAATATTTCCTGACGTAGAAACTAAATGAATCTGAGTATCGACTTTCATCTCCAAATATCAACAAGGGAGCCCTTTTTAAAAAAATAAACACAGAATTCTCCCAGAAAAACATCTGTAATCAAGAAGACAAAAACCTGTAGAAATTAGAAAGAGAGAAAAATGACCAAGCTGTTCTTACTGCGCTTTCCGTCCAGGTGAGACGTCTGAACCGATCACGAGAAGGGCTCTCTTTTTATTCTTGTCTCCATTCCGCAGAACTCTTAGTCTTACGGGGACATTCTGCTCCGGTGACTTACAGGTGGGTTTCTTCATGGAAGGGCTGTTTGGGACAAGCAGTCCTTCTATTGGCCAATCAAACTCCTTCAAAAAGAAATGACACAAAAAAACTGACAATAACTAAGAATTCTTTCTAGATATAAAAAAAAAATCCTAATCTAACACACTGCTCCTACCCTTAATCTTTCATTCATCCATCAAACATGTATGNCAAAAAACTGGCAATAAATAAGAATTCTTTCTAGATATAAAAAAAAAATCCTAATCTAACACACTGCTCATACCCTTAATCTTTCATTCATCCATCAAACATGTATGGGGCACCTAAGATATTTCAGACAATTCGATTTAATGCTTTATCTGAATAAAAAGGAAGGATGGTAATTTTTTGAAGGGAATGTAAAACCTGTGCTGGGTTACAACATGGAAGATGTATCCCCTTTCAGAGAAACATTGTTCTAGAAAAACAGGACTGAATTAACTTGGAATGTTTCCGTTCATGTGTGAAATATCTTTAATATGAGGAAAGTAAGAATGTGTGAGAAGTTGTTATTACAATCCGAAATAGTATCTTAAGCTAAATCTATTTGGCAAAGAAGAATATATTTGGGGAACACTCCAAAAAACACAGCAAGATAATGAAACTTAAATTTCAGATGTTCCAGTTGTAGAGTTCAGTTAATTTGTACTCATTTATTCAGCTATTCCTTTATCTATTCATGCACCGTCTAACTGTTGTTCACTATATTCCAGACACAGCGTAGACCCGGGAAACAGAACCATGAGCGGGATGGGACGCTCCTCCTTCAGGGAGTTCCTAGTGGGTGCGCAGAAACGGGTAGAAATGAACGGGCAATGAAACAGTGCCCGCACAGCAGCCACGGGCCCGCACGGGGAGGGACGGGGCCACGCCGGCGGGAGCCTGACGCAGATGCCCCGGATCAGGCCTGAGCGGCGGGCAGCGCGGGAAGGGGCAAGGACGGGACGCACTGTCTGCGGCAATGAAAGGAAGTCAGGGTGGCTCCCAGGTTTGTCGCTTGGGTGACTGCTACTGCCACCCACGCAGACAGGCGTTGGGGGGGGGAGAGTACTGAGGCGGGGATGATCAGGGACGGCGTCGGGCCGGGTCCAAGTCCCTCCTTTTGTTCCTATCTGTATAAACAGTCGTCCTGGCAGCACTTAGTTCCCCGTCAACCGGCAGTCACCGTCCTGTAAAACATCACAGGTCCATGAAAGCCGGGGTCTGCTCCTGCGTGTCCCCTCCTCTCCACTGGTCAGCTTCCCTGGCCCCGCAGGGCCCCGCCGCCTTGGCACGGCTGGCGGGTCTTGGTATTTGGGGGCGAATACTCCCACCTTGGCACTCTCTGGAAACGGACTCTTGTTGGCCCTTTGCTATTTCGTGCACCTTTAAGAATCAGTTTGGTTAGTTTTTAAAAGCCTGTGATATAAAAGTTTTTAAAAGTTTGGGATATAAATACTCTGTAACAGGTTCAGTAATTTCCTAAAGAAAAGGAAGAAAAAGACTGACGAGATCCAAGAGGTGGCGGACTGAGTGAAAGCCACACTGACACTCTCCCGGGACCAATCTGGATTTACCACTGAAACAGAAAAACCATCCTGAAAACCAACTGAAGCCGAGCTGGAGGCACCCTCACAACCAAGGAGGAAAAGTGGAGACGGCGCAGAGACTGGGAGGAAGAGCAGACACGAGAGGGCTGCTGGGCTCCCACGGGCGGCAGCTGAAGGGCGGAGGGAGGTCTCAGCTGTGGGGGTCCCATTGAGGACTCTGGGGCCCAAACCCCAGGCTGGGCTCCCACAGGCGGCAGCTGAAGGGCGGAGGGAGGTCTCAGCTGTGGGGGTCCCACTGAGGACTCTGGGGCCCAAGCCCCAGGCTGGGCTCCCAGGGGCAGCAGCTGAAGGGCGGAGGGAGGTCTCAGCTGTGGGGTCCCACTGAGGACTCTGGGGCCCCAGGCTGGGCTCCGCAGCCCAGAGGACCAGAGCTGAGAGAGGCGCCCACATGACATCTGCCTGTAAAAAGCAGCCGGGTTTCTGTCTGCCGGGGAGAGGCGGCTGGAACTGCAGGCCCCTCTTACAGAGCCAATGAACTAAGTTTCATGTGCAGCCACTCACCTTGGGCTCCGGCAGAGGGAANGACCAGAGCTGAGAGAGGCGCCCACATGACATCTGCCTGTAAAAAGCAGCCGGGTTTCTGTCTGCCGGGGAGAGGCGGCTGGAACTGCAGGCCCCTCTTACAGAGCCAATGAACTAAGTTTCATGTGCAGCCACTCACCTTGGGCTCCAGCAGAGGGGAAGCAGAGTGACTGGAGCTGTGTGGGGAGAGTCTGGGGTTGTGGGCCCTGGCGAGTGAGATCAGGGGACACTCGTCTGGATTCCTGTGCCTAGTCATTCCCCTAGACTGTGGGGGACATCTTTCTCGGGAGGAAAATTTTCGGTTTTTGCCTGAAGGGGGAAGCAATTGCCCTACCCTGCTGGAAAGCCTCTCANGGGACACTCGTCTGGATTCCTGTGCCTAGTCATTCCCCCAGACTGTGGGGGACATCTTTCTCGGGAGGAAAATTTTCGGCTTTTGCCTGAAGGGGGAAGCAATTGCCCTACCCTGCTGGAAAGCCTCTCACCCTGCTCAGAGGAGTTTCTACAGCCTGAGGCTTATTAAAAGACTGATAACAGCTAGTGGCCCCACCCTGTGGAGTTTCTACAGCCTGAGGCTTATTAAGAGAATCAGATTAATCACCCTGCAGGCAGAGGCAGACCTCAGAGTGCTTTAAGACTTTGCCTGATTTGCTTCCGGACCTGGGCCTTAGAAAAGCAGACTTTGGAGTGCATCTTGGTTCCTGTCCAAATGCATCCAGCCCCAGCAGTGGAGACCTCAAGCCTAGGGTTGTTGATAGCTCCAAACGGTACTCAGGGCCAATCACAAACTTCATCTGACATTGGCCTGCACCAGAGACAGTNACTGCCTGATTTGCTTCCGGACCTGGGCCCTAGAAAAGCAGACTTTGGAGTGCATCTTGGTTCCTGTCCAAATGCATCCAGCCCCAGCAGTGGAGACCTCAAGCCTAGGGTTGTTGATAGCTCCAAACGGTACTCAGGGCCAATCACAAACTTCATCTGACATTGGCCTGCACCAGAGACAGTCCAAAAAGACTGAGTCCTAGCAGGCCTACCTAATACATAGAAACAAACCCAAACAGGCAGCCAAAACGGGGAGACAAAAAAACAAGTCCCAAATGAAATAACAAGAGAAGTCTCCAGAAAAAGAGCTATATAAAATGGAGATAAGCAATCTCTCAGATATAGAGTTCAGAATACTAATTGTAAGGATGCTCCACAGCATGAAAAAAGATATGGAAACTATGAAGAATGTCCAGTCAAAAATGAAGAATGAAGAGCAGAAATAAAGAATACATTGGAAGGAACAAAGAGCAGATTAGAGGAAGCTAAGGATCAGATGAGTAAATTAGAAGANATTAGAGGAAGCTGAGGATCGGATCAGTGAATTAGAAACAGAGTAGAAAAAAAATCACTCAATCAGAGATCCAAATGAAAAAACAATTAAAATACAGGAGGACAGTTTAAGGGAGCTGTGGAACAACATGAAATGGAACAATATTTGCATTACTGGAGTGCCAGAGGAGGTCAAAAGTAAGCAAGGGTTAGAGAACCTGTTTGATGAAGTAATGGCAGAAAACTTCCCTAACCTGGTCAAGGAAAAAGTCACACAAGTTCAGGAGGCACAGAGAGTCCCAAGCAAGAAGAATCCAAAGAGGCCCATGCCCAGACACGTCATAATTAAAATGCCAAGAATTCAAGACAACGAAATAATCTTAAAGGAACCTAGAGAAAAGCAATCTGTTACCTACAAAGGAGCCTCCATAAGGTTGTCAGCTGACTTCTCATCAGAAACTCTACAGGCCAGAGGGAATGGCATGAAGCATTCAAGGTAATGCAAAACAAGGATCTGAAACCAAGACTACTCTACCCAGCAAGGCTATCATTCAAAACAGATGAAATAAAGAGCTTCCCAGACAAAAAAAAGGCTAAAAGACTTTATCACTACAAAACCAGCATTGCAGGAAATGTTAAAGGGACAGATATAATTAGAAGTAGAAATAGAGAGAATAAGAAACATAGGCATAAAAAAATAAAATGGCAGTAAATAACTATCTTTCAGTAATAACCTTAAGTGTAAATGGATTAAATACCCCAATAAAAAGATATAGGGTAGCTGAATGGATAAGAAAATATGACCCAACTATATGCTGTCCACAAGAGACCCACCTCAGAACAAAAGACACGCACAGGATGAGAGTGAAGGGATGGAAAAAAATTTTCCATGCAAATAGAAATGAAAATATAGCTGGGGCAGCAATACTCGTATCAGACAAAATAGACTTCAAAATGAAGACCATAATGAGAGACAAGAGAGGTCATTACATAATACGAAAGGGATCAATCCAACAAGAGGATATAACCCTGATAATCATATATGCACCCAATATAGGAGCACCTAAATTTATAAAAAAAACTTCTAGATGTCTTGAAGGGAGAGATTGACAGCAATACAGTCATACTAGAGGACTTTAACACCTCACTGACTTCACTGGATAGGTCTTCCAGGCGAAAAATCAACAAGGAAATAGTGACCCTAAAGAACACACTAGATCCAATGGACTTAATTGACATTTACAGAACATTCTACCCCAAAGCTGCAGAATATACATTCTTCTCAAGTGCACACAGGACATTCTCAAAGATAGACCACATGTTAGGATACAAAACAAGTCTCTACAAGTTCAAGAAGATTGAAATCATATCAAGCATCTTCTCAGACCACAATTGCATGAAATTAGAAATCAACCACAATAAAAACACTAAAAAACATTCAAATACATGGAGGCTAAAAAGCATGTTTTTAAACAATGAATGGGTTACCAAAGAGATCAAAAAAGAAATAAAAAACTTCCTGGAAACATGAAAACGAACACATAACTCCAAATCTATGTGACAAAATGAAAGCAATCCTGAGAGAGAAGTTTATAGCACTACAAGCCTACCTCAAGAAACAAGAAAAACTTCTAATAGACTCTCTAACCCTACGACTTAAAAACTTAAACAAGAAAAGGCCAGAGTAAGGAGAAGGAAGGAAATAATAAAGATCAGAGCAGAAATAGATGACATAGAGACTAAAAAAAATACAAAAGATCAATGAAACCAAGAGCTGATTCTTTGAAAAGATGAACAAGATTGATGAACCTTTAGCCAGACTCATCAAGAAACAAAGAGAGAGGACCAAATAAACAAAATCAGAAACGAAAGAGGTGAAATGACAACTGATCTAATAGAAACACAAAGGATTGTAAGAAAATATTATGAACAACTATATGCCACCAAGCTGGACAACCTGGATGAAATGAACAAATTCCTAGAAAAATACAACCTTCCAAAACTCAATCAGGAAGAGTCAGAAAACCTGAATAGGTCGATAAAGAAAAAAAAAAAAAAGTAATTTCCTGTTCATCCCATCTTGTTAAGGTTTGTNGATAAAGAAAAAAAAAAAAAAGTAATTTCCTGTTCATCCCATCTTGTTAAGGTTTGTTTTCTGGAATGTGTGTTGGATGCTGCAACAGAGGAAAACAGTCTTTTCATTTAAAAATAACTGTCACATTGAAGCTTTGGTATAAAGTAGCTAATATTTCCCCCCCCTTTCTTTTTTCTGAACCATGGAAGGGAAAGGCAAGAGAAACAACGTTCTTCCTTAAAATTAGTCTGTGAAAACTGTCAGTTCATAGAGTAAGGATACAGAACTAAGATTTTTTTTCAATATCCGAAGCACGTTATAATTCTGATGAACTTATCAGAAGTGTGTAGTCTCAGCTCCTAGCTGTTTTCAGATCCTTTCACTTCCTAAACTTGCCCCATGACAAGTGGTAACCATGCAGACATTGGCTGTAGCTCCACTGTAGCACTGCGGCCTTCAGATGGCTCCCTTTGCTTTCCAGCTCCATGAAGGAAGCCCGGGGGTCTTCAGTTTTAATATAGGACATCACAGAAACCGAATTCAAAGAAATGAAAAATTATCATGGGTTTCAAAAATGCTATTCGCTCATAAAACACTATCAACTGCTCTTTAGGATGAATAATATTTAACAGCAAGAACAGCATGAAATCCTTTCCCAGACCAGCTGTCACCACTGGGAGGTAAACAGTTTGGTATTAATATAGTCTGAGTTGCCACAAAAATAATTCACATTGTCCATATTTCCCTTAATCTTGCCTTGGTTTTCATTCTATTTTGAAAAGTTCCTATCAAGGAATGAACAAAACAATCTGAGTCTGTCTCAGGTTAATGTTTCTTAGACAGCTTTCTTAGATTCAATACTTTGACTTAGTTTCCAGGCTCATCCACTGAGCCTGGCTAACTCTCCTCGTACTGACCTTATAATTGAATGAACTGACTCAACAAATAGNTTGAGCCTGGCTAACTCTCCTCGTTCTGACCCTATAATTGAATGAACTGACTCAACAAATAGCCTTGATTTCTGGGACACCAAACTTTTTTTGTGAGTTTCTTCTTTCTCCCTTCTCGGCCCTCTATCCACCAGCTCTGCCTCCTTCCCTTTCCAGTGCCTTCCTTTGTGACACAGCCTACATTGCCTAAACTGTAAGCTCCCTGAAGGTACAGGCCATGCCTATCTCCTTCCTTGGTCTCCCCGCATTGCCTGAATATATAATAAATGATGATTAGATAAGTCGTAGAGTTGGGAGACTAAATCTAGAATAAAATGAATACGTACGCTTACCATGACCAAAGCGTTCTGAATCCCTCAACACGTCCCATTTCTAATTGCAGTTTGTTTAAACGGAAAGTCTCTCCAAGAAAAATATTAATTGCACTGAATTATACACTAATAAAATTACCTTTCTGCTTAAGAAATAAATTATGTGGAAATAGAATTTCAGGAAAATGTGGTTTCTTCAGACAAGATCAACCCAGGTTTTAAGTGAAATAGATCACATTTAATTTGAATGAGAACGGAGTTCCCTGCTTGGTAAGTGGTTTCCTCCCTTTCTCAAATATTTCGAGAGATAACAGGACTCAGGCTGTCATTTTGCAACACGTGGTCAATCTGTCTCACTTTAGCTAATTCAGTGACATAGTCCTTTCCCTTCAGTTCATAATTGATGGCCGACGTGTTATTTACTCCGCCCAAAAGCTACTTTTCTCTCTGAACGGCCAGAGGACTTGAGAGTTGTCCACTTTCATCCCTAAGATCATTTAGTTGTCAAATCCCAGAATGGAAATAGAGGATATAACTTCCAAACTAGCAGGTGAGAAAAGCATAAGAAAAAACTCAGTCAAGAAATAAGAATGGAGAAGAAGTAAAACAGAGAAAAAGTAGAACACATAAAAAGCAAATAATAATCTAAATATATCTGCCATTACAACACATGGAAAAGACCAAATCCTTATGTGGAGATAAAGACTGTCAGGCCATTTTAAAAGGTTAATTATATGCTGATGATTGGAGACCCCCTAAATAGAAAAATATACAAATAAAGAAAGTAAAAGAATAGAAATAAGGTATACTAGGCAAATAACAAAATAAAAAAAGCTGAAATATTTCTATTAGTGTTGTATAGTTGAGACTTTCACTAGAGCGTGAGAGAGTCTATATGATGATAAAATTTCAACTCACCATAGAGATACAACATTTCTGAACGTGTGTGTGTGTCTAAGGACTAAATTTCAAAATACATAAAGTAAAACGTAACAGAATACAAGAAAAAATAGATAAATTAATCTCCATAACGGAAGACTTAAATGCATGTTTCTAATTAATTGATAGAACAACAGAGTTAATCAATCTCTTGCACCTAACAACTGCAAATCGAAAGCTGCATGGAAATTTTTATAACATTGATTGGGCCCTAAAACTTAAGTCTCAACAACCACGTCTCATACTTAGCAATACCACCTCATTAAGTTGGCCGCTGGGAAGGACTGGCCACATGTAGGTAAGCTTATTCCAGAGAGGATTTTCGACCCTCGAATGTTTCCACTGGCCTGGCTTACTGGTCCCTACGTGTTTTATGGCCCACCTAAAACAAAATGAGAAACGAAAGAATTTAGCAAAGTTAAATATCACTTCAAAATATTTATTGACTACTTATTATGAACTAGGCAAAGAATTAAAAACCCAAATCTGATAGTTCACTGTGTACAAGAGATGCAAGTAAAAGTAATGTTAAAAAAAAAAATTTTAAATCAGGAAAAGTTGGCAAAGTCATAATTGACAGTGGAATTTGAAACAAAGGCAAATTAGAATAACAAAGTCATTTAAAATAACTACAACATAAATAACAATACTAACATAGAAAACAATTGAGCAAACTTTTTAGACATTCAAAGAGAAACCAACACACACAACATATTACAATCTACTAGGCAATTTCTTTTAAGTAACAAATAAGGATATAAAATATCTGACTGTTATAACTAATATACTTAAGTATGACTATTTTTATATACATTGTAGGCTGTTAAAAGAAAATATGTATTTCTCAACAATTCTTAGAACATGTGTAATACTTGCCACTAACAGAGTAAACTTCAATACAGTTTTAAAATGAAAATTGAACAAGCCACTCTTTGTGGCAAATGATAGAATAGAATTAGATATAAATAAAAGTTTAAAATTTCAATCATAAGGTAATTTTAAAAACACATTATCCCTCCCAAAATACTATTATATCAAATGGTGGGGGGGGGGG